ACAGTATAACGGAGCGGGGATCAACACTCGCGGGGCGGGCAGGCATCGCCCTTCTCCAAGTAGTGGAGACGACATCGCTCTGTCTCCCGATTGTACAAGAAACCCCAGTCTCGAAACCCAAGAGTTCAAAGAATTCTGAGGGGTTGTTCCTTCACCTAGAAATCAGGCTGTCCCCTGAATTATGGAACAGCCTGTAAAATTTGATTCCAGAGGAGCAAACAGTCCTTTGTCCAGCAGAAGTGGGTCCCAGGCTCTGCTCGGGACACACTCACACCCAGAAGTGATGCTATCCATCGTTAAGTTCAACGCCCCTTGGTGTGCTGGGTTTTGGTTTTGGTTTTTTGCTATGTCAGGCCACTCCACCCGGTGGCTTCTCTGTTTCCTACTACCAATGCTGAGTGTGTGGGTTCACTGCATGCAGCCCGATCTGTCGCCCATTTCTTGGCAGTGGTTGGTCTGGACGGCAGAAGCAGACACAGCACGGATGATGGCTTTGTGACCGTGAGCCTGAAGCCGGACAGAGGTACGGACTCTCCCACACACTGCCTGCCTGCCGGTTGGACACTGTGTCTTGACCTTGGAACTGACTTTTCACATTTGGGTTTTAGGGAAAAGGGCAACTTCTCAAGAAAATCGCATTTATCTGAGGCTCTGGACTGCAGAAAATAAGTCGAAATCAAAGAATGCAAAGGATTTACCCAAACTGAACCAGGTAAGCGCTCAACAGTTCAGTCTATTCATTCTGAACACTGAAACTGTTTTCCAGTCATAGATGCATGTAGAATAAGTAACACTCAAAGGTAATGGTGACTCGGGGCAGTTAGTACCTGTTTACATCCGTTTTGTGCATCGAAAATACGTTGTGAGAAAAATGTGAATCAGGAAACAGTCGATTTTGAGAGTACACGCCTCATTTCAGTCGTTAAGAATACCCTCAGGGACTCACAAGACGCGGCTGTGTGCTGTTTTCAAACACTGTGCTCGGCTGTGAGGATGGCAGACAGATTCTTTTCCTTAAGAAGTTGAAATGTAATGACAGACTTAAAAAACAGAAGTATAGGTAATTATAAGACCGCACGGAAATGCTAACTTTCCCAACAGAAAACAGATGAATCCTCTGGATGGGGTGGAAGGCATTGCCCTCTGTCCAGGGTCCCCCCCAGATGTGCGCAGGAGAGATAACCTTGGCAAAGCTGCCCCCTAAAGTGTGTAGGAGTGAGACGAGGTCTAGGGTGTACTGACCACACTTCAGCAAAGGACAAACACGTGAACACAACCGTGTAGTACGGTCGGTCTTAACTCTAGGTGATGGATGGGCATGCAAAGTTTCCTTATTTCATTCTACTTTCACGGACGTTGGACATTTTTCAAATTGTAAAAATTGGAACCATCCATAAAGAGACTTGAATAAGGCTTCAACCCACCCTATACACAGGACTTTCGGGGGATCTTTTCGTTGTTCTAATGTGAAACGGCTTGGCAGGCCACGCCAGCCCTGCCCCCGTGCTCCCCCAGGGCGGTGACATTCTTTGTGCTATTTATTCGACATCCATTTTCAGGGACAGTTCATTGAGCTCTGTAAGACGATGTATAACATGTTCAGCGAGGACCCCAATGAGCAGGAGCTGTACCACGCCACGGCGGCCGTGACCAGCCTGCTGCTGGAGATCGGGGAGGTGGGCAAGCTCTTCGCCGCGCAGCCCGGGAAGGAGGCGGGCAGCGGGCCCTGTGGCCAGGGCATCCCAGGTGTGCCCTTCCCCAAGAAGGGGCCCGGCGGCGCGCCCTTCGGGGTGGAGCCAGTGGAGCCCCACGCGGCCAGCTTGGCAGGCGACGCTGAGGACCACTCCCTGGGCGGACAGATGGAGGACATAAAGCTGGAGGACTCGTCCCCGCGGGACAACGGGGCCTGCTCCTCCATGCTCATCTCCGACGACGACACCAAGGATGACAGCTCCATGTCCTCGTACTCAGTGCTGAGTGCCGGCTCCCACGAGGAGGACAAGCTGCACTGCGAGGACATCGGGGAGGACACGGTGCTGGTGCGCAGCGGCCAGGGCACCGCCGCGCTCTCCGGGAGCGCCAGCCTGGACCGGGACTGGGCCATCACCTTCGAGCAGTTCCTGGCCTCCCTGCTGACAGAGCCTGCCCTGGTGAGGTACTTCGACAAGCCCGTGTGCATGATGGCCAGGGTCACCAGTGCCAAGAACATCCGCATGATGGGCAGGGCCCTCGCCTCGGCCAGTGACTACGAGATCTCCGCCCTGTCTGGCTGACCCGCACCTCCCTCCGCCGGCCGGGCGGGGCAGGGTGGGGTCTTTTCTATGTTCTCTGTTGGGGTGTCTTTCTTTTACATTAAATATTTATTAGGACCCGGCTGGAAACCTAGTGTTTCATAATATCATACAATGAAGACTGTTGGAGAAATATTTAACACCTCGCTGTAGGTACAGTGCACTCTTGTTGGGGGAAGGGGGGGTTTACCAGAATAGTTTATTCAGTGAATTCCAAAAAAGATGAATCTGTTCGTGATATGTGTGTATTATAACTTCTTAGTCTTGCTGTTCAGCTGTATACATGGTTTAAAAAAAATAGTGCTGCTTCACGTGAAACAGGGCAGCGGCCATTTGCGCGTTTGGGCTTTTTAAAGTAAAACCAGAGCTGGAAGGAAAATGAAGTGGGAAAATGAAATGGTCTTAAATGGAATAGGCGTTGTCAGCAAGGGTGAGTCCTATACCACTTTGGGGAGCATTAAAACTATTTTTTAAGATTTGAAATATATTTCATAAAAAGTCCTCTATTCAAAAATTATATTCAAGAGAAATCCCCCTGCGAGGGGAAAACATTTGAGATTCTAAACAATTATGAAAGTGTGATTTTTATGTGAGGCCAGAATAATGGTTCTATTTGGTCAATTCGGGCAAACAGCAGACCAGTTTTGCATGAAGAAAAGTTATTATGTCAGCTGCCAGAATTCAGTGGAAATGAACAGTCTTGTTACAGAGTCAAAGTGGACATGAGGATGACAGAGGGCTCGGGATTTTTTCTTCTCTTTTTGGACAGACTGATGCTTCTGACACTGGATTTTCCGCTTCTTATTACTCATTACAAAGAAAGCAAAAAAATAAATAAACAAACTTTACCATCTCCATACTCTCCGTAGTTCCAGAAACTATACCATGTATCGTATATAACCATCATTCCAATTAAGTCAATGTCATGATAATGTAAACTGGGAAAAAAAACCCTGCAAGATAACGTGTAACTGAATGTTTTAAAGCAGAACTTTGTCACTTTATACCAAGAACAGTAGGCTGTTCCCGAGGGGATGTGGAAATGGACTGGAGCACACCTGCACTTTGAAGTCCTGCTTCCTTGTCGTTGCTGTTGCTGTTCTCGTCGCCCATGTCGGGGGAGGTTCTCCCCCCTCCCGTGGAATTCATAGCCATGGTCACAGTTCCTTTGCTTCTTCAGAATATTCCTTTCGATGCATTCCTTTGTTTTATTATATATACAGTGTTCTTATTTTAGCTGTTACTGCTGTTTTTTTATTCTGTTTACAGAATGACTTTCAAACTGTCAAATGAAGTAGTGTTAACCTCAAATAAGATAATGTGAACAAATAAAATACGTCAGATACTCAGACTTGGCTTTCGTCTCAGTGACTAGGCTCCTGCCTAAGGCAGTCACATTATTCTTTTGACAACTCTGCACGGGGAGTTATATTAGGCAGCCGTTTGGACTGAGTAAATATCTCTATAGTCAAGTATTTTGAGATGACAAATATAATATGCAGCGATGTGTATATAATGCATGTATTTAAAGAAGGGAATTTTTATCCGTTATCTGATTGTTTAACTAATCCTACCGACATTAGCGATTAAAGGTGGAAATTCCTGTTTCATCCCCATTGGTATGCTGTGGTACCACCTCTTAATGTGTTTCATCCAGTGACTAATCATTTATTTGACTTGATTCTAAGATTGTTACAGATTACTTCTTCCTGTGTTTCTGTCTTTAAAGTCACTTGAAAGATGCCTCAGGAAATAACCTTAAAATCTGATAATGTCAGGCGTTGGGAGGGGAACGAGAGTGTGTATAAATGTGTGGCCCTGCATCAGCAAGAGAACCAGAAGCTCCCGTTGTCACAGAGAAAGGGACTCTGACAGCATATGCCTGTCTTGATGCCGTGGTCATAGTGCCTTGAGCGTCCTGGTGCTTTTTGTCACAGCAGCTGCACGCTCTGGGAGACGCGTTTTCGCCTGCGTTTGCTTCTCCCAGAGCCCGAGCCTCCCAGCTGCTTGTTTCCAGTTTAGTCCAGGAGAGAAAGAAGCGGGCACCGCAGGTCACTCCTAAGGCAATCAGTACCTTTCAAGGAGCATTCCTGTCCTGTTTTTAATGGTTGGGGTGTGTCTTTTTAGTATCTTTGTGGATTTTTCTCTTCAACCTCAAACTAGGGTGATTTACCAGCTTCTTTTCCAAACGGCCACTTTTCTCCCAGCTCTGTGATGAGTTGCTTCCCACGCTGACCACCATCCACCACTGCAGAGGGTGGGATCCATGTCTCTGTCCCCAGAGACGGGAGCTCCAGCAGCAGAGCACTGGGCACTGGCCTCGGTGGAGCTTTCAGATGGGGACACAAGATAGCGTGAGAGAGAGCACGAGAGAGAGCGTGAGAAGAGCACTCTCTGGGAAAGGAAGAGAGCCCCCTGGAGCCTGCCACGCGGGGACGCGCATGTGCAGAGGACCACAGCTCCAGCCACACCGTCCGGCTGGGCAGGGCAGGCAGAGAGGGACTGAGCAAAACGGAAAAAGGACTCATGGACGTAGACAACGGTGTGCGGATGGATTGCTGGGAGAAGGTATAAGGGAACTAAATGATAATGGGGAAAATACAATAAAAATAAAGAAATGTAGGAAAGAAAAGCATTGTTTCATGAACATAAATGACTTAAAGGGATGGGAGGATGGGAACAGAACAGAAGCATTAACAGCAAGGCTAATAAAAGTTTCAACGTTTTTTATTTGCTTACAGCATTCCCGAACAATGTGACATCACATCTCAGCTATTGCTTTTACATAAGAAATTAATTGCTTTATCCAAAGTAGACAAAAATCTATTTCTTTAAGTTGCCAGCCAAGACTTCCGCCCCCCAGGGACAACTACTGCTTAAATATTTGTTGAATACTTAAATAGAAACATAGACTCGCCCTATTATACATAGTACTGTAATACTTGGGTCTTACCTGCACTAACTACATTTAAATTTCTTATCAAACGCTGAAGACAGGGGAAAAAAATGAAAAAGGTCACTCATGACATTTTCTTTCTGATTTTAACAAGTCCGTTAATTTTTGTGAAAAATTCGCTAATGTGGAGAGGTTCATAAACAGGAAAACAGAAATTAAGCCTCCCCAGACCTGTTCATAGAGAATGCGGGTGGGCCATCTGTCCTGAGAAACAGCTGCTGGCCCCCCTCATTAATTCTAGAAGGGTAATAAGCAGTGTTTCCCTCCCAGCCGAACCTCTTCCTTCGGGGCCACGACAGCGTGTGATCCTTCCCGCCCTGGCCACAGCTTTTCCACTTCCACTCTCACATAATGAGCAAAGCTTTGCGCAAGTTCTACCTCACTGAACGCGAAGGAGAGAAACATAAACCGTTGTGGACACTGAAGAGTCCGTATGTTTTGACTCAGAAAAATACATACAAATCCAAGTAGCTCTTAAAAGAGAAAAAGTTCAGAGTGGGCGTTCTCAAGAAAAAGGTGGTTTTCTAGACTGTAAATGGGGCCAGGAAGACCCTGACTTTTCTCTCTCTCATCTACAAAGGGGGGTTGGTCTCGGTTCACTGGTATCCCCTGACCACCCCCACCCCTGTTCTTCAGAGATTGTCTTTCCGAACACAGTAGGTGAACTACAACAGTTTAATTAGTTTTTAGACTGTTCTTGTCACTGGACATGCTCTTCAGTCTGGCACACACAGAACCTCATTTCAACACTGACTCACTTTTCTGATGCTAAAGCAAACATAACTTTCCTGGTACTTAAGTTCTATCAGTACTTTGGTACTTATTCATTATTATAGAAACAGGAAAGGTTCTCAACATGGATTTTAAGACTACATAAAATTCTAACATAACATGTGGAGAGCAAGGAAAAGTAGGAAGGCAGACACAATTATCATATTTCTCTTTTCATCTATGTCACTATCACATAAAGGTCAGAAGGTGCATGTTACACTCTAACTTACAACTGGTGACATTGAGCTTGGCTTTCAGATTCAAGCCTTAGAATCCATTGGTGGCTTAGACCAGTTCGCCATAGAACTGTCTGAAATGGTTACTGATTATTTGAAGCAAAAACAACACTATCTGTACTGTACAAACAGAAGTGGATCTAAAGAACATATTAGAGCAAACTTTCTAATGACATTTAAAAAAATATTTAAGATTTTTTTCTCCCTAGAAAGGGAAAAAACTTAATTACTCAAAAAGCGCCCCGCCCCCCCATACTTGAGTTGTTCTTTTATTAGGCATCATGACAAAGGATTAAATCAGTTCAAGATCTCAGCTGTGGAAAAGTCAAAATACAAGTGTTTTCAGCACAAAAATTCAGAGACAATTGCTCTCCCATACGAGGAAGCGCCTTGACGAAAGGAAACACCAAATGATCAGCACTTGACCCTCGGCAGGGCACTGCCACATCCCGCAGAACTCCAGCTGGACAACGAAGCAGTGGAAAACAAGCTAAAAAATGAAAGCGCTCCCAAGGCTGAGTCCCCTACAAGAAACCACAGTTGTAACTCCTCTAATACTGAATGAACAGCTAAACTGCCAGGACTGCAATAAAATGAACCCAATGTTCAAAATAGTTTACCTTGAGGAAATTGTGACCCGAATGCACACACTTTTAACGTGCTGTACGACACCACAGCTGTTACGTTACCATCGAGTATTTTTTTACCACTCTTCTCTGGCAAGTTTGAAGAGAGGTTTGCTAATAAACATGAACAAATACTTAAAGTCTCGCGTCTTTGTGTTTCAGATTAAATTATGTCTTTGACAAGCTGGTTTCCATAGGATTTAAGGAAACTTAGAAATCACACGAACTTATCTTCAAACTTGAGTTTTGCTACGAGAACTAATGTCTAAAGAAGAAACTGTTCACTTTACAATCTCATCACTGTATAATCCTTAACACACTTGCTGCCGTCCTGAGATTTTAGAAGAACAAAGCTATTCAGAAGGCATCCTCACCATCCTCAGGCTACTTGAGAATCCCACAGATTGTTAAAGAATACCCATAAGTCCACACATCAACTAGATCCACTGTGGAGTCAGAGCAGAGACTGAGAGTTAACGGTAAATAAAATAAACCAATAATGTTTAACCAAGTTTATAAAAATGCTTTAAGTCTTCTTCCTGTTTAAGTTCAAAGACAGCTTTATTGAGACAGCAACTGTCCTTTGAATACAGACAAGATGTTCTCAGCAGACACCTCTTTCTTCATAAGCTCACGCAGGTGGGGCCAGCCCCATAAAGGCCTCTCACACCATGCAGGCCCTTTCCTGCATGGTCCTTTTCCACCACTAACAAAAAGCCAAGACTGACGAGGAGGAACTGTCTCTAAGCTTTAAAATAACATTGTAATATTTGAAAGTATGGTATTTAAAAACAAAAAAGCTAGCCGCCAATACTGTCGTTCTAACATGATCTGTGATGCTAAATAATCAGACAAACCAAAATGGAGGCCACGTGTCTTCATCCCGATATACCCGTGCTCTTATTGCTACTGATGAGGCCACACTGACATCTGTGTGAAATTCAAACAAGAACCTGGAAGAACCACCCCCCCCTCCTAATTAACCTACAAATAAGAGAAAGAAAATAAAGAACTAGCAGGTCCAAACTCAACAAAAAAATTTTAAGAGTTTTGCAAAGATGCCAACTTGACAGATACACATAAAGTGAAAACTGACATTCACACATTTTATCAACCAATTTAATACAAATACAGTACCTGACTTGTACTTTTATACTAAATGGGCTAAGTCCCAAGTTCCAAACTGTAGTTTCCGTGACTCTACAGAGGGGTCTTTGGAAGGAAAAGGTGCCTTTGGAGGACAGTGTATAAACGACTGTAAACATACACCGATTGTCCAGTAGCTTCCTTAAATAGAATTTCTGAAAAACTTTTGTAGGAAATTACATTTAATCAGTGTCATTGATCAGATAATTTCTATTACAACATATAAATTCTGCTGTGTGTGCAAAATGTGGTAGAAATAGAAGTTAGTAGGGATGATTCATATTTTTAAAGTAAGTGACACATTATAATCCAGTAGGAGTCCTTTAATCTTTTCATGAAACTTCTCTCTATATATGTTGAAATACATAATGCTTTCTGGCTTTTCTTCAAACCAAAACTTGTCAAATTCATAGACAAGATAACCTGTAGTTAAAAAAAAAAAATAGAGTGCTCAATAATGATATCACATCCAAACCATCTCATTTTAAAAGTATATGACCATCCTTTAAGTTCCATATTAGGGTATAATAATTGATCTTAAACTACTAAAAACCTGAGGAACATTGTAAAAATATTTTCATATGTTCAAAGTAAACAGCAATTTCAACAAAATCCCTCAAACTTAAGAGACATACTACTGTCAAAACTACCTTGGGAATAGGAAACGACGTTACTACCAGAGTCCCTTGAAACACGAAAATGAAAATAACAAAAAAATGTTGGACAAGGATAATTTACAAGAAAGCTGTTTTCTATTTGATTTCTAAATCTCAGAGATATTTCCTTTTTTTTTTTCAATGAACTATCAGCAACTTCTCTTTTAAAAAAAATAGATTAAACTCTAACCAACTAAGCTATCCAGCCAGGGCCAAAAAATAAACTCTAAATCAGCCTGACTTAGTGACAAAGGCCCAAGATCACGCAGTCACAATGGGGATGGGAAAGTGGGCAAGTGCAAGAGAAATTTAAGAAGCAGAGCAACCTGGAGTTACGCAAACACAGGGGAGGTCACGGGAAGAGACCTGGGTGACACTCGCAAGCCACAGAGCTGAGTAAGTTATGATTTGATCACTTATTACCTAAGTCATTTCCTAGCTCCTGCTGACAGCAAACGACATTCTAAAGACTCAAAATGATCGAGAAAGTACGGCATAAAAGCTAAGCTGGATTTGAATTCTTTGCTTCTGAGCAATAACTTCAGAAAATGGGTTCATTCAATTAAACCTTCAGTGTTCAAATATCACCAGAAAAAAAGTTAATGAAACTGGTAATATACTGACTGCTTTATGGAAAGTGACTAAGTAGCCAAACCAAACACAAGACCACCAGAACTTGAAATAAGGGGGGATGGGTGAAAACTTTTTAAAATAAATTTCCTTACGAGAGTAACAAAATAATCTGTAAGTCGTCTGTCCTTGACTCAATAGCATTTGCTGACCAGGATTCAACAGGAAAAACTCATTTTATAGACTGAAAAATGGATACCTACAGAAAAATGGCATAAATACTAAATTTGCATACATGTGAAAAAATTGCCTCACTGAATTTTTTAAATCAACAAACATAAAAATTACAGTACAAAATACCCTTGGGAACCCATCTTCCATTATTTTCCATTTTTCCAAAGATCCTAAATAATAAAATGATGAGCGTAAGTCATATCCTTGCAAGAAATGTTCCATCTTCCAGCAGATTTAAAAATTCTCCTGGAAATATCCAGTTTTAACTCCTCTTAATACTCACAGTAAAACTGGTGGAAGTGCTCTATGGTTGGCACACCGGGAACAAAGTTGTAGAGGTGAAATTTCAGGGCCTCACTCTTCAGCAGGCTGTAAGCCATCTCTGTCAGATTGATTCCAACTATTGCATAAGAATACCTATGTCAGAAACATGACTGGTTACGCCAGCTAGCCAAACAGTGCACAAAATAAACCCGAAGTCAGTCAAGGAATTAGCAAAAAGCTACCTGACCCATTTTTAACACGGTGTTGACTTCATGATATCTTACATATTAAGAATAAGCCAGAATAGATTTTTAAAACTTGTCCTCTAGAGGCTGTTTATTTTCTGGATATAATCTAAGAAATAAAGACAAAGCCCTGGCCCCATGAATATCTAAAACCAAAATCCTTTAAAAAACTAAAAGGAGTATAACACACATATTCTCAGAGTTCTAAAATGCTCTAGGTAATCTAACATTTTCTCTTTCATTACCAGGGTATTTATTTTTATGATGTAATACTGTTATGTTTTTCCAAAGACAGATGTCATTGAAATATAAACATAAAATAATGTCATATGATAAAGCTACTAATATGACCTCAATTTGCATTTCATGTCACAACTCTCAAAACTATTTTTCATATTCCTATTTCAAAACTATTTCCTATTCCTATTTTCAAATCTACTTCTCAAAAATTCTTTATAAAGTCCTTATCTCCATTTTATAGATAAACTATATCTTGTGATAAAAAATATTAAAATATTTTTTATCACAAAACTGGCTTACAAAACTGGCTTATTTTCACATTTAGCCTTAAAAATAATGTATCATGCAATATCCTTTAAAGTTCTTATAAATGAAAATAATCCCATTTAAGAAATACCTTGACATACTCTCCAAGTCAGATCACCCCACCAACTTAAATTCAAGGGCCCGCAGTGTCTTCACTGTGCCCAACTTACCCTAAGCTGGGATGATTGGAGCGGGAAAGAATCTGATGGGCTTCCCGGGTATAATTTTCACTGAAATACCTTCAAACGGTGAAGAAGAAGAATGATGTTAACATAAGTCATTCAGAGCGAAGCTACCAGAAACTATTTAAAAAGTTACCAACAAAATGAGGGCCTTTGTACTGCCTCAAGACCCAATCAATCCCCATCTCAATCGGAGTTTAATTCTGAGCTATCAGGCCTTTCCGCACAGGACAACGGCCCTTGGCAAGACTTTTAGGTATTTTAACAAATAAGTTATCTACCTGTGTTTAAAAAGATCTAGAGTTCTCTTTATCTGTTTGGTCTAAATTTTCTACAAAACAGCCAATGCCCACCTGGTAAGAGGACACTCTTCCCTTCACCTGGTACCAGTCTGTCCAGGGCAACTGCGGTCCGCTCTGTTTAAATGCCATGTTCAGTGTGCTCAGAAGACAGTCAACCACCTTCATTTTGCACTAAAAACAACCCTCTGTGATCAGTGCTATAATTAAAACCCTGGCCACAACACTGACGTATCAGGAGAAATGGATAAAGCTAATTATTCGTAGGCTCAGAACTGTTGCCTGAACCTCTCTGAGTTCTAAGACAGGGACCAAACCTCCTCCTCTTCAACCTTCTCATCATTTCTAGCACATCACTGGCAATCACATAATCACTAAAACGTACCTGTGAATCTTCACAGTTTTTCAAATTAGTAGATACTAGCTCTACATAGCATTAAAATATCTATCTGCAAGTCATTTAAAAGTGTGTTCAAGTCCCTTACCATAGTCATGAATCGAATTCTATTAAATTATTTAAATTTTCAGCTAAATTGGAAAATACCGAAAAACTTGATTTCTGAAGAAAACAGTCAGAAGCAAGGTTACAAGGAAAAAGGTAACAAAGAAAACACCACGGTGTATATCCAGCTGAGGGCAAGCTGCTTCAAACGTCTGTGTAGCTTACACGCACTGCGAGTAAAGACGGCCTTTAAAGGCTAAAAACAAAAAATCCACGTGTTTTCAAAAATAATAAATTTTAAGGTATTTCATTATTTTCCAAGTGTAAACAAAGTACATTTTTTTCTACTTAAATTCCAAACAGAAGTTTCTGTTTATCAAAGTGGAAAACAGGAGTCTCATTTTCTGTGATTATTATTCTGTGATTAATATTTTTAAAAATATTACTGGGTTTTGCTTATTTCCGAGAGGTAGAATTATAGGAAACTTTAATACGCATAAAATTTAGGCATTACAGAAAATTAAACACTTTGGAACTGGGAAAAAAAATTACACATTGAAACCTTGTATGTCTGTATTTTCTCCCCAAATATCATCATCCATATTGACCTAGATTTTTTTTCTCACTATTAACATAATTTAGCTCAATTTCAGAACTAATTTTTTAACAGTAACTATCTAAATGTTGTTAATGGTTAGGGTTCCCACTCCAGGTATTCTGTGGTCTATAAATCACAATTCAAGGATAGACTCAAACACTCCAATCTCTTCATTTGTACGTCCTTTACTTTCTAAAATAGTGTTGGCTATCAACTGTGACTTCAGTTACATATTTACAACTTCATATATGTGCTTGAGCATAAGTATTAAAGAAGAAAAGCAGAGAGAGCCCATGCAGGCTGCGAAGAGTCTGAGATTTCCATCCCTTGCCATGTATGGCAAAGAATCAGTGTGAAGAGACTTCGTTATCATCTTACCTGGTCACGTTTCCCAAAACAGAATCAGAGAGGCAAGAGAAGAGACAAGAGGATTTTTAAAAAGGTAAGAAAAGAGTATAAATAATTCCTTAAGAAGTATCAGAAGGGACGTCAGGAAGAGAAAGGAAGAAGATACTGGTAAGCAAAGAAATCACACACACACACGAGCGCATTTCCAACATCTTCACACTGATGCCACATCAGTAAATACTGTCAGCACTGCAGCTATTACAATTCACAGACAGTACGAAACTGGATGGGAGATTACACGTAATTTCATTTTAGAGAAGAAAATAAAGTTTCTTTTCACTTACACAAGGTTGATTAATCCGAGTATGCCCATGCCTCTGAAGTCTGTTTTGGGGTCATCACCCTGGAAACCGATGTCAGCCCACTGCTTGGAGATCCGGGCCTTCAGCTTTTTTGTGGGCATTAGGAGGTTCCAAAGCTGTACAAACATGCTTCCGTTTTACAAATAATAGTGATGTTCTCATAACTGATATAACTAGTCAGTTAGATGCTTTCAATTGAATAATTTTGTAGACAAATTATAGGTTCAACAAAAAGCATGTCTAGAGAACTTTTCAATCACCATAAAAAATGTAGCATATTTATTCCAATTAAAAGACTTACCTAAAAAATAGCTTTTGAAAAGATGACAAATGCACAGACATCTAAAGCAATGTGATGCCCGTACCTACTAGGTAACACACACATGAACACCAGAACTGGCAAACTACTTCCTGGAGAACAGTGTCAGGTGTGTGACCCTCACCCCCGATACTATGAACTCGGGTAGGTTCTAAAAGTGGGTGATTTGTCCCCAATGGCAAGGAGGAAAAGAGGTCAGGGTTAGGGAGGGGGTCCTGCGGAAATAATACAGGTTCATTCCAACTCATATGATTATTATTTTACAAATTTTCATGGTTTTATAGGAAGAAAAATAACTCAGTTTTAACGAAATATATTCTGTAAGACTGAGATCAAATATCAGATGGCTACCATAAAATAAGACAGCTATCAAGTATTAGATAGCAACAAACTAATCAATGCAAATAAAGTTTAAAAATGTAATCATTTTCTAAATTTGATACCACACATCAAACAGTCTCACAAAATAAGAAAGTTCATGAAATTTGTGAAACAAAAATACTCGCATTTTCCCATTTCACTACCATTTCAGGCATTGTTGAATCAAGGACTTCTCATAAAAGGAGTATCCTGCTACCCAAAATAAAACATGAAGACTAGTGACCCTGCTTTAAAACAGGGTCAAGACGCCAGTCCAGAAGCCAAACCCAGTACTTAGACTGGGTTTTATCTGGTCCCCTCTTTTATTACTAGCAGATTTCCCTTTATATGTAACAATCTATCCAGAATTAAAAGCATTTAAAATAAAATTCATTTGAATATATTTTAATGATGCTTATCAGATTATAAAAAGAGTTAACTAAAAATCTTTCGCCAGCATAATAACATTTTCTAAGGGGCAAAGAAACTGGATGGCTGTGTAAGCCTCGAGAATTTGCACACAGACCTCACTAGCTCAGGCCTGATTTACCTTCCCAGAGTTCAGGAACTTCAAATACAGAAAACAAACCGTACCTTGAGAAGCAGCTTTTCGTGTTGTGGGTTATCAGAATCATACGGTCTTTTTCTCACACCTTCTACATCCAAATAGAGCTGCTTATAACCAGTTATCTGCAGTAAGCATGCCTTCATGCAGATTTTAAAGCTGAAAATAACAATTATTATTTTTTCAAAAGTCATTCTTTAGCACAATAAAGTAATGCCTTCCACAGCTTGTGGTTTATATGGCTATTTAGACGCCATTTCCTAACTTTCAGTTGAATACAATAAGCAGCAAAGTCCTCCTTAAACACAAAACCTTTCACAAAGCATCAGGAAGCATCTGATAAATCAGGGTCTAGAAAGAGGACAAGACGTGGTAGGAGGGGCAGGCTCTGCAGCTCTCCCTTCTTGTTTTCCTGGGCCGTCTCAGACATCCCTAAATCTTCATGGCCAGTCATCACCAATGGACCTAATTTTCCAAGAATGTATATACAAGGGGGGACCCCCAAAAAACAGAATTATCTTCTGGAGGGCGGGCACCTTGTAGTACAGGCTTTCCCCACTACGTGAGTGTTCTAGGGACCCATCTGTATCAGTGCACCAGCTGGAGTTATGAGAGGCTGCAATGAGCTTCAGTGACAATTTTTTTTAAGGCATTTTCAACATGTTTGCCCATCTCATGGGGGGTGATTGGTGAGCGCACCTGCCCACACCGTGCTGAGTGTCCAGCAGTTTTTAGCCAGAAACAACATGACCCCTGTGCCCCACCCTTCCTGTTCACCTGATATCATCTCAAGTGACTTTTTGTTTCCAGGGATGACAAAAATCCTCAAAGGGGAACATTTTGCTGATGTGGAAGAGGTGAAACAAGAACCAGCAGAAGCGCTAAAAGGCATCAAATTCGGTGAGTGCTTTGAAGGTGACTCGTGTATAAACATGTAAGAATACGTGATTTTTTATAAATCAATTCCGGTTTTTTGGGTCCCCTCTCGTATATGTAGCAAACAGGTCCAGGACAGGTTATCTCAGTTTTCCCAAATATAGCTGTCTTCCCCGAAGAAACGTGCTTTTTCTTAATAAGTCGCTAAACTATCGACATCAGTAATTAATCATTAGTTCTCTGAGCCAGGACCATCCAAGTGCTGACTTTCCAGTCTCTACCACCAGTACATCGAACCCTAGTCCTTTCCACCTCTGAAATGTCCCTCGAAACAATCACCATATATCCATTAATGCTGATGTGTTTATGGCTTTGTCCTCTCTTGCCTGAAGGACAAAAGAGGGTTTCCTAAGTGTTCTGTCTTTATTCCTTCTGCCACCTCCCCACACCCCCCAATTTACCCTCCAATTTCTGATAATATAGCTTGTTTGCTTTAAAAGAAAGAAAGGTGGGGGGCGAACTTTGTAGCCTCTCTTCAAGTTTTATTTTCAGAAGAAAGCGAAAGGCGGGCGGGCAGGCAGGAAGGACGGAAGGAACCTGGAGGACACCATCTGTCCCTCCGTGCGACTTGTAGCCCAGCACTGCACTCACTTCTCGGGGCCCCTGCTCCGCAGGAACCCAAGGCCCTAGCTACAAAGACCCCTGTCATTCCCAGGTCCACAGCGCTGGGGCCTTGCTGGCATTCTTCCTCGACACAGCATGTCCTCCCTACGCACTCCACAAGGCCCAGCCGAAATGTCACCTCTTCTGTGGAACTACCTCACAGTTCTCTCCTGTGCCCCTCCCTGTTCCAGCCAAAACACATCGTTCCTTCCTCTATATTTACACAGAAAATGCTGAGAAAGAACTGCTGAACACTTACAAGCCAATGTCCTGGTCCTGAGAACTCAAAAATGGAGTAAGTCAAGTCCTCTTATGGAACTTGCAATTCATTGCAATACGAGGGGAAGAGCAAGAGTAGATGGACGATCACAGTGCACTGGTTATGCTACGGTGGAGGGAGAGCTCTGTGACGGGGCAGGGCAGGGGCCCTACCTTGGGCTGCAGGAGCAAGGGAGGCCCCTCCTGCAGGACGGACGGCCTGAATTTTGAAGGATGAGAAGGGCACAGTAACCACAGTTATTCAACTTCGGGAAAGTAATGGTAAGTGACCCTAAAGAAGGCAGAGGGTGAACCAGCAGCAGTACTGGGCTAGGGACCCGCAGACATGGGCCTTCCTCTATTCCCATCGCTCCCCTCTCTGGACCTCAGCTCCGCACACACTGAAGTGGGGGGCAGGCGCAGACCCCTCCACAGCCCCTGCAGCTCCAGTGCGGCCGGCTGTGGGGCGTCTCTGCAGTTCACAGGGTGCGGGCGCAGAGCCAAGACCACACACACTGAAGTGGTGTGCATACCTGACGTCCTTTTCAGTGTTAATGTTCTTTTCTTTCATTATGTCTCCTACACATTTGTCCACTTCACTCTGAGCAGCAAATGTCGCTTCCTGTAAAACCTGTTGATGTGACAAAAAGATGATTGAGAAAATCCCTTATAGCTGAAAAAGGACAGTAAGTTTTAAGGTATTTAGTCAACTCTATAAGCACATATTAAAATGCAAAATGAAACCAAATTTGTTTCAAATTTTCACTATTAATGAAATTCAAGCAATTATTTAATTAATTGAAAGAGAAGCAACATGTTTCAGGATCTCTTAGCAAATGAGCAACCATGGTGTGCTTATGAAGCAGACACTTTTTATAAAATTCAAAAGCTACATAATAAAAATGTCTGTACAAAAAATGTGAATGCAGGAATCAAAAGAAATTTAAATGCAGAAGAGGACAGAGAGAAAAACACAAATAATTTTGTAATCTTACCACCAGTGATAATCACTGGTAAGAGATTAGCACGTTATATGGATGCCATACAGACTAAAATTCAAATTTCATAAAACAACTTTTAACCTTACTATGACCAGTGTTTTCTAATTATTTTCTATTCCGTCCTGTGGCGGTGGTGGTTGTTTAATGCTGGCCGTGATCTATGATGGGATTTCAAACAATGGTCCAGGTGACCCATGCTCTCCCTTCGTCACAGCCCAGGTATACATGGAAAAAGAAATGTGAACTACTACAGGGAAGTACAGCATGCAGTGGACTAAATTACTGGTGCCGACTCTTCACTCCCCTGTAACTGAATTACGTGTCCATTGCCTACGATGGCCTTCTGGTGGACACCGTGTATTTCTCTGTCTTTTCTGGAGCTTAGCCACATCGATTAGCCAATGGGAGGGTCATGGATATGACACCAGGAAACTTAAAATACGTCCGTGTGGTTAGGGTTCAATGATCCACTGTGAGAACACTCCCCAAGTACCCACTACCTTTCCAACCTGGGTCCCAGAATGACACCGTGACTACAGACCTGAACTTGGCACCAGCTTAAAGAAAAGTCTCTAGCTGGCCAACAGACACATGAGCAAGAAATAAATAACATATTGTTACATGCCCCTGAGATTTTATAAGTTTGTTACACAGCAAAAGCTGACTATAACACGAAGTATGACATATTTTGGATCAGAAGTTACATGACCCAGGGTGTTCTATAACTACCCAGAAGTGCTTGATTTTTCTCTCACATAAGAACCTATCCTAAGGTCGGGGGCGGGGGTGGTCTAAAAGAAGGCTTTCCCCCAGAACCCTGCTTCCCCCAAAACTATCAAGTCATCAGGCAAAATAGACATGCAAAACCTCAGAACAGGACAAATTATTCAAATACCTTCTTTGTGCACAATAGCACACACAGACAAAATATTTTAAAACTAAAATATTACTTCTAAAGTGGGAAAATTCCACTCAATTCTTTTTACAGCAAAGACTCTCCTGGGAAGATGTTAATAATTAATTCTAAAATTCAGGCATTCTTTTAAACAAAAAGTATTTTCCAGTTAAGTTTTCTGGAATTATAATTGTAATATGATCTTACCTTATTCTTGGAATACATCAAGGAATTTTCTGAAATTTAAAAAACAAAAACGTTATTACATGTTGTTTGTGAATTATTCCATAAACAAAGAGTATAAATATCAGGCCAATTATAAATTACTTGCACAGTTCTAGAAGATATAATTTTTACATGCCTAACCTAGCGAACACTTAAAAATTTCAGCCGTTCAGTACACAACACTAGATATGATTCCCAAATCCTCAACCCAACCTAACAAACCACAGCCAAACAGACGGAGTCGGCCCAAGCTCCCCAGAATCATCTATTTCTGGGCAGACCCCCAGGTGCCCACTGACCACTGCGGATTCACACATGGCTCTCTCGGATTAGCTCCTGTCCCAGAAACTCATGTTAAGACTCCAGTGAGAGTGCTGTTTGCTACATTTTCTCCACCTTTTGCCCTTAAGGAGCAGGAGTGTCCATTTCAGGAGCTAGCAACTGAATGAATGATACAACACAGGGGCAAAAATGAAAAGACTTCCGATTTGCCTAACCACCTCTAACCAGACAAATAGTAAAGCAGCTTCTCCATTCTGTTTCAAGAATAACTACAACATTTTCACTGGTTTATTTTTAAAAATTTTCTGGCACATTAACCTAAAGTCTTTTTCTCAGCAACTTGAAAAAATTTGAAAAAATGCTTCTGCCACAAAATAAGGCCTTAACATATTCTGCCCTCCCCCCCCCCATGCTATAAAACACCAAGACTGCCAAGATTTCTTATCAAGAGGTACTTTGTTCCTCTCAAAACAGTCAAAAGGGCAAATCTGAAGAGCAGGCAATAATTTAAGCCAGCCACAAAGTTGTGAGAAAACTAGGGAAGTAATTAAATTTCAATCATCCAGCTGCCCTGAGGCTTACTCTCTCCTGGTCTGTCATCCTTTCACGTTGCCTTGGATACCAACAGCCACTTCCCGAATCTTACAGGGGTGGATTTCTTAGTTGAAGCACACTTGTTTGACACAAAAGAAGGCCTGATTTTCCATTTAACACAGTGAGCGTGAACTGTAGCTGATCCCTGGCCTTCTTTGCCCTGGCCTAAGAGAAATGCCATCCACCACATTTGTCACTCATCTGTGTGCTAACTTAAAGCAGTATTTTCAATTATGCATTGAAAGCTGATGGATTTCAGAAGGTAACTAGACCAGTATTGTTCAACAGAAATATACTGCAAGCCAAAATGCACACTACAAGCGTAAAGTTTTCTAGTAGCCACATTAAGAAAACAGATAAAATTATTTTTACTATTTTAAACCAATACATCTAAAATATATTAAACCAATATACCCAAAATATTCCATATATATAATAAATACGAACAATTACTAATGAGATAGTTTTACATCCTTTGTTCATATGAACGGTTAAAACCCAGTGTACATTTTATACTTCCACATATCTCGACTCCTAGTAACCACATTTCATGTGCTCAACAGCTACACGTGGCTACGGGCTGTGAGTATTGGACAGTGCAGACTTTGAGTCTAATCTTTCCTAGGGATCACTAGATACCCATTGCTGTCCTTTCATGAATTACATAAGAGATGAAAAGATTCATGAAAGATGCTGAGTATAAAAATGAAACTACTGAATAGATCCAGACACCCACTTTTCCATCACCTGGGTGAAAATTTCAAAGGGCTATGGAATTACTGAGATTTTCTTCTAAAATATACTTAATTACTATAACCTAAGGAACAACAGATAGATTTCAGGAGCCAGAGGAAATAACTGTTCTCACAGATGGGTAATTAAATAATAATCCTTTTCTTTTTCGATAAAATCATGCAGTTTTAGGGATTCAATGTTAGACTGCAGAGATTATGAAACCGAGTGTAAGTGACTCGATCAGGTTACACAATGATTGCATGTCACTGAATATTGAGAAAAAAACATTCATTCAGAATTAAAATTTTATTACTTTGTAATTATTCTCTTTCAGGTAACATTACCTATCCTGTGTGTCCTCTGGGCACCTACATAGGTATCAAAAATTCGCTGCAATTCACACTTGCCAGTCATCTGTCGTAAGAGCCATTTCATCCAAAACCGAAAAAAGTGCCCATAGAAGAAGTCCCACAAAGAAATAAACATTTTTTTTTCCTGGAGAAGGAAATACATGACAGGTTTAATGGCCTTAAATTGGATTTTAAAAAAGGAAAAAAAATTATTCATCAAGTCTCAAATTACATTAATATCTATTACACTATTCTACTGTGTCTATTTTGTAGTATTTAAGGAATCTAAGAAAATGATAGGTGTAATATATACTATTTAGATTAAATTATGGCTGGTCAAATGGCCAACTTTTCACTTTTTATAAATTAACTGTAAAATTCATAATTACTTAAATTTTTGCTCTTGGTTCCCTTTTTTAGATATTTCACTCTTTGAGAATTGGGGCCCAACAGTTGACGAACAAAGGAAACCCAACTAAGCAACAATTAAATAAAAAATACCACGTATCAGAACTGTTATTATAAGGAATAGCTCTTCTTAATCTCTTATGGATGGTTCCAGTTACATGTATCCCATAGTAGGGTGCTGCCAGCAAATAAAAATCTATATATGGTTTACAGATTGAAGTATACAGGTTGAACACTGAGTAGATCACATCTTGGCTAAGTCTTGTTTTTCCATTCAACAGGTGAAAAGACTGAAATCCTAGGGACAATTAACTACACCCTCAATAAAACTGAATCTTTACGTCATAAGAAAAACCTTCAGCTCCTAAAGGAAGAGGGATGGGGGCACTGCAAGTGAGTAATTAGTTAAAATCAAGCAAAAATGTTTATCTCCTTCCTGCCTTAAACATTCCCACCTATATATCATCTCTAGACGAAGGTCTGCCAGACTGTCAATTTTGAAATCCCCGCAGATCAGCGCAGAAACCGTGCACGATAGCTATGGGCTAAACTGTAACGTGAGAAAGAACCCATCTAGTCCGCCGCACTCATCAGGACAAAAGAACTGCCAGGAGGAGGGAACGCAAGCCTGGCGGCGCCTCAGCTCCCCAGACAGCGGGGAGTCGCTGCGGCCGAGTCCCCGTTTCGGAGCCTGGAGGAGCCCAGCTCTCTCGCTGCCCGCGAGTGGGTGGGAACGGCTCGCACAAAGCCCCACCGTCCCGGGCGTCCAGCGGATCTGCCGTGGGACACCGCGGGGCTCGCGCACACCGCGCGCTCTCAGCACACCCGCATGGAAGCAGCACGGGGCGAGAGGAAAAGAAACAGCAGCCACCTCACTGGAGCGGAAGAACTAGGGGGAGCTGGAATCTGCCTCGGTTTCCCCAACTGCAAACAGCCGGCAACGGAAACGACGCTACTAGCACAGAGTACCCCGTGAGCACCGTGACCCGGAAGTTGGGGAGCAAGGCCGCGAGAAAGCCTACTCCGGGACGCGGCCTGCCCCGCCCCTCCAGCCTCCACGGATTGGTCCACGCTCCACCAATTGCTAACGCAGCAAGAAGGTCGAGCTTTGTTGCTTTGGCGTGTACTCGGATTCCCGGGCCGAGCGACAGTTTCCCTGGCAACCGTACCCGGAGGCACGCCCCGCGCGCCTGCGGTCAGTCTTCCTAACGCTGCTGTGGAGACTTTGCGCGTAGACTTTTGCGCAAGTTGACCCCTTGTCCTGCTTCTACAATTCAAACGCGGAAAAAGAAGTGTACTTTTGGTAACTATCGCAGGGTTTTCCTCCTACATTTAATCTTAATTATGTGTATTTTCCATCCGCTGTTGGGAATCCGCAAATACTCTGGCCGACTTAAATTATACGTGGAATTCCTACAGTGTTGGACCCCAACCCCGCGGTGTTCAAGGGTCAACCGTAATGATTATGGACGAGGAGACGGAATTTGCGGTTAATAACTTGCTCCTTACTGATCAGTGGCAGGTAAGCCATATATGCTGTGGAATGAAGTTCGGACTTAGTTGTGTAATTACAAGCATCTAACAGATAATTCCTCAAACATTTATTCCTTGCGTGGTTGTTTTTCTTGAAAAAGAGGTATATGATTTTTTTAGAAGTCACATCTGAAACAGTGCATTAATGTAAGTATTGGTTGTTTGTTACATACCAGTCAGGGCTTCAAAGGGGAGTCAACACATAAACAAATGCAAATATTGAGTGTGCCAGGTGGTGCTAAAATAAGGCAAAGGGGGAGGAGTGAGATTTTATACACAGGTAGGTGGGGGAGTCTCTGTATTAAGATGACATTTGAGCAGTGTTCAGGATGAAGTAAGGCATTAAACCTTCCGAGTGTGTGGAGAAAGAGCATCCCAGCGCTTGAAGCTCAAGTGCACGGGCCTTGAATCTGGAGCATACTTCGTAAATTGAAGGAATTGCAAGAAGACCAGTGTGGCTGGAGGAGAAAGAGCAAGGGAAAAGAATATAAGTACCAAGGACAAAAGCAGAATGTAAGTACAAAGGACAACTTTCATATAAGTATGAAAAAATAACTCCCCTGCACCCTCATGCAAACTGCTGGTCCCTCAGCCCCCTTGCTCAAAACCAACCAGTATTAGTTTTCTGGTTTTTTATCTCTGGGTATAGTCTGTAAATGTGTATTTCCTCCATCCCCTTGTTAACACAAATTGAAGGCAGCAATACACACTTTTCTACACCTCAACCAACATTTTTTAAGAAGCTAATTGCAAACAACACTAAACAGGTGAAGGGTGCATAAGCCATCATCCCTGCCCCATAGAGGCATCCAACAGTCAACTTGGTAATGACCTCTGGACATAGAATAATAAAACCATACAATCTTAGATTTTGAAGGGAACTTAAAGATCACCTCGTTGAATATTTTTTATTGCACAGAAGATTCAGAAAGGCAAAGTACACAGCCAGTTTGGCAAATTAAGAAGTAGAAACTAATTTGTTCCAGAGGTCTCTCCATTCACAAGACCTTCACAACATAGAAAGTGAGATAATCCTGTACTGCAATGATAGACTCCTTCTACCTTCTCATTGTGCTATATTGAGAGTAAGGAATGAAGAGAGCTCCTCTCCTTGCCTCCATGCTGCCTATTGGTCCACTTCAATCATGGTTTTCTCCAAGAGAAGAGAGTGCTAACCTGCTTGGTCAGCACCTGAGAAGTGAATTGAATGTCACTTACTGGAAGCAGGAAATGTCATGCACTTGCGAATGCCTCTTTTCCCCCACTAACTCATTTGCATGTAACTGACAGAGATATTAAACCAGAACTGTTCCTCGGAGAAGGCTGACTTCTCTCTTTTTCTATTCTCTGATTTTGTTTTTCCATGTGGCTGGCTTAATGGTGGTTAAGCCCTAAGATCAAGTTCTGGCTTCAAGGAGAAGATGGGACCTACGTAGGTCCCTAAACTAAGCTGTGTGTTTTTACTTGGCCTTATGTAAAAAAACAAGACTATATAGTATAATGGAGTTTAGTCACATTTTTAAAAAGATTTATTTATTTACTTTTAGAGAGAGGAAGGGAAGGAAAAAGAGAGGGAGAGAAACATCAGTGTGCGGTTGCCTCTCATGTACCTGCCACCGGGGACCTGGCCCACAACCCAGGCATGTGCCCTGACCAGGAATCAAACCAGTGACCACTTGGTTCGTAGGCACACGTTCAGTCCACTGAGCTACATCAGCCAGGGTTGGTCACATTTTTGAGGAGTCTGCTTTCTCAGAGACTCCTCTGAAATTCCTAGGCTAAACGGTGGAGACACTTTGTTTTAGACACTGCTTAATAGAGTTGATTAGTATGACTGTTGGTCAGCAACTTGTTGCAGTGTTCAGCATTTGATCGATAGATAACCCAAGTTAAGTATCAGCACCCACTTTTGGAGTGTGTGAGCAAATTTATACTGAGAGGGAAAATCGTAGTCTTTTTACTAAGAGTGAAATGGGTCTATCTTGGGGGAAGCATTACAAATATTATGGACAGTGGCAACCCTGATTAGTTTATGCTGATTTGTGTTGCACTTTCCTGAAATTGTGTTAGACACTGATTAGGGGGAACTCCTCATATTTGCATATCGCATATGATTCTTTCATGGGAGAACAGCAAAATATACAGATTTGTTCTCACAGCTACTAGTAATGGGCTTTACTGACAAAAAGAAAGTTTACGCTATTCAGAATTGAGTTATGGCCCTGGCTGGTGTGGCTTAGTGGGTTGAGTGCTGGTCTGCAAACCAAAGATTCACTGATTCAATTCCCAGTCAGGGCACATACCCAGGTTGTGGGCCAGGTCCCTTCAATAGGGGGTACAGGACAGACAACCACACATTGATGTTTCTCTCTCTCTCTTTCTTCTTCCCTTCCCCTCTCTCTAAGAATAAATAAATAAAATCTTTTTGAAAAAAAAGAATTAGGTTATGGGCTGGGGTGCAAATGGTAACCAGAACAAAAAAAATAAGCACTGAATCAAGTAGAGCTATTTTTATTTAAAAAATTTTTAAGGCAGGGGATGAAGGGAAGTAGAGAAGCAAAAAATTTGACAGAACCCCTACCAAGGGTTTGGTGGCACATTAACTAAAGTTGAGGGAAAACCACTTCACTTACGTAAACCTATCAGATCTGTTCCAGTTATCCCAGCTGGGTAAGTTTAAAGCCACTGATGGTAAAGGAAAAATAAGGTGTGTTTAGCACAGGGTAGTGATTTTCATTCATCTATTAATGGTGTGGGAGAGAAGGACAATCAACTTGAGAGTCAAGAAATCTTCATGTGACCCCATGTAAGAGGTCCAAGACTGTGATGTAGTCAATGTTGAGAGGCAGAGGTTAGTGGAAAACGTCTTTGGGGATTATCAAATGAAGATGTGAGATGTACCATAATACCAGAAGGGTAATGGAAAGGCAATATTAAGGTATGAAAATGGAAGTTTGGGGCATATGAAAATGTTCTGGTGGTTACACCAGAATCATTGTGGAGCTGAAGAGGGAGAAATAAGAAAGAGCTAGTTCTTGCCTTTACCTGAATATGTAATTAAAATGCATGCTACAGGACTTCTGATCAAGATGGCGGCCCAGACATGGCTTGTGTTTTCTCACAAGCACATCAAAATTACAATTAAAATATAGAACAACCATCACTCAGAACTGTCAGAAATCAAGCTGAATGGAAGTCTGACAACTACGAAATTAAAGAAACCACATCCATCCAGACTGATAGGAGGGGTAAAGACATGGAATGGGCTGGTCCCTTATCCATGTGTGGTGGATAAAAATTGGGGAGGGATATCTTGGGAGTGAAGAGTGCCAGCCCCACACTGGCCCCCTAGCCCAGGGTTCCAACGCCAGAATCATAAATCCCCACAACTTCTGGCTACAAAAACCAGTGAGGATTGAGTCAGTGAAAGAAACCGCTGGATCCTCAAGCAGTTCCTCTTGAAGAAGTCACCTAATATGACTCCCTCTGAGCTCTAGCATGGGGTGGCAGCTTGAATGTTATCAACGGCACACGGAGAAACTGAAGTGTCTGGCATCAAGGCAGGTGGAGACCATGGTCCCTTTTCTAAACACTCCCCTGACAGAGCTGGCAAGCTGGTTCCATATCTGAGACTCCATTAACCTGGCTAACACTGTTTGGCTTGCCTTGGAGATCCCCTGTGACCGTCCCACCCAACTTACAGGCCTACCCAAGCTCTTTTTCCATATGAATGGCTGGTCTTGGATAATGCTTCACAACTTCCAAAATCCTACTGAATAAGCAGCAGCCACCCTTATGGAGTCCCCAGCCCCTGTACCTCTTGCTAAGTGGCCCCAAGCCCAGCACTAGCAGCAGCCAGTAGATTCATAGCTGGATTTCGCCTGGGAATCTCCAATCCCAATGCAAGTTATCAGCCAACTCAGATTGCTTTATAGCTCAGGCAGGGTGGCACCAGGCATAACACAGGTGGGGGCTGACCTTGGCCTCAACCACCTGGGAAACCCCAGGACCTGTGTACCCAGTGGACAGCTACAGACTATGTTAGAGCACTACCACCCTGCTCCTGCACAGCTGGACCATCCATGGATGGTAGATGGAGGGTGGAGATTAGTGATCAGTGGTCAAAGCCAGGCCTTACAGCTGACTGGCCTGGGTAAATCCCTCCCATTGACTTTCCAACAGCAGCCAAAGCTCAACTACAAGAGGAGGGGTTATTCAGCACAGACAAAGGGCACACATCAAGTACCCAGTGTGGGTGTGCCACTGGACCATACAGGACACATACTACATTAGGCCACACTACC